TTAATAAATAGAATTCAGCTTGTATCAACTTGTATGTGTAGTATTTTGCTGTTGGCTTGTATGGCTTTTGATTGAAAAAACAATCRTYKTTTTTTTTTCGCAAAAAGAAAGCCAAARTAGTTATATAACACAAGGGACAATTACCTAGTCCCCAGGCTTTTGCCTTTCTGCAAGAAATATCTGGCCTGGTTACACAGTTCAAAATGGCGTCCTTCGTACCACGAACAGTCCAAAGAAAAAGTGTTGAAAAACCCTCGAAAATTAGCCATAATGTGCAACAAAGATTAACCAAAAGTAATAGAAAAGGTAAAACTATTTTAGTGGATTTGAGAAAAACTCAGGACGTATCGAATTCGGCCGTAACTACAGAGAAMGCMAATGAAATTTTGGAAGACAAWCAACAAGATGAAGATAKTGAAGTTATTTCCTTCAGTAAAAACCAACGCTGGCCTMAAGAGGATGAGCCAGTGTGCGTTGTTTGTGGAAGATACGGTGAATATATTTGTAGTAAAACTGATAAAGATGTTTGCAGTCTTGAATGTAAGGCAAGAAACTTAAAAAGTTGTGGGATAAGYTTGGACGATTCGACAAGCGCTACTTCGTCCGGTGCTGACTTTTCAGCTGACCAGCAATTKACGGTAAAAAAATGTATATATACGGAGCATCATTCAATTAAATCTCTCACTGAACCTCAAGTYATTGAACTTCGAAATCGCTTAGAAATTCAAGTCAAGGGTGAAAGCATTGCTCGACCGATTATCGAATTTGAGCATTGTCAATTTAGCGAAACTCTCAGTAAAAATATTCATGCTAGTGGCTATATTTCTCCTACACCTATACAAATGCAACTAATACCCGTTGCACTTTCTGGAAAAGACGTCGTTGCATGTGCACAAACTGGGTCTGGAAAGACTGCAGCATTTTTGCTGCCATTGATCTCTGGGATACATTACACCACAGGTAATCCATCAGCATTAATTTATATTTCAGACAATTGAAACCTACCTATCCCTACTGAATTTTTTGTCAGATATACTTCTATATAACATAACAGTCTTCTCAACATATTTTGGATTAGCTCCCTTCAATATTTTTATTGAAACTGCATATATATATATATATATATTTTATTACTAAATTTATACACTCTTTTCAATGTTGACTATTGTTTAGTCAAGACAGATTTAACATTAATATAATCCTCGTAAGCGACTCCCAGTAAGCCTTTTCTGAAATACAAAATCATGATGCATTGTGGTCTAGCTAGTCTGAAATACAAAATCATGGTGGTCTAGTTTCAGTACAAACAATACCATATTTGGTCATATGAGCAGAAGATGTTTTTAATCTAGATAACACAGTGGAATGTGGAATCATATTTCAGAAAAGTCCAACAAAAGCAAAAGTTATTGTGTTTATTATCCTGCTATTATAACATCACCTAGGCATCAATAAACTTTATAAATTTCTTTTTAAATCAAATGTGAATTACCTTCAGTTAATTGAAGTTTAATTTTAATTTCTACATTAATCAGGAACATTGCCTGCCAAAAGCGAGTTTCTCAGGCATCCATTAGGATTGATATTAGCGCCAACACGTGAGCTATGCATGCAAATTGAAAAACAGGCTAAAGAACTAATGCAGGGACTGACAAACATGAGGACTGCCCTGGTTGTTGGTGGTCTGCCACTGCCTCCGCAATTACACCGATTGCAGGTGAGAACTTTATAATGCCTCGAGTTTGCAAGTATAGTTAGTGAAAAGCATTTTTTATAAAATACTGAAGAATTTGCATCAATAAAAATATGCTGTTTCAATATACAAATATAGATTGCTATATTTGAAGTCAATTTTTCAANGCACTTTCTGGAAAAGACGTCGTTGCATGTGCACAAACTGGGTCTGGAAAGACTGCAGCATTTTTGCTGCCATTGATCTCTGGGATACATTACACCACAGGTAATCCATCAGCATTAATTTATATTTCAGACAATTGAAACCTACCTATCCCTACTGAATTTTTTGTCAGATATACTTCTATATAACATAACAGTCTTCTCAACATATTTTGGATTAGCTCCCTTCAATATTTTTATTGAAACTGCATATATATATATATATATATTTTATTACTAAATTTATACACTCTTTTCAATGTTGACTATTGTTTAGTCAAGACAGATTTAACATTAATATAATCCTCGTAAGCGACTCCCAGTAAGCCTTTTCTGAAATACAAAATCATGATGCATTGTGGTCTAGCTAGTCTGAAATACAAAATCATGGTGGTCTAGTTTCAGTACAAACAATACCATATTTGGTCATATGAGCAGAAGATGTTTTTAATCTAGATAACACAGTGGAATGTGGAATCATATTTCAGAAAAGTCCAACAAAAGCAAAAGTTATTGTGTTTATTATCCTGCTATTATAACATCACCTAGGCATCAATAAACTTTATAAATTTCTTTTTAAATCAAATGTGAATTACCTTCAGTTAATTGAATTTTGAATTTCTACATTAATCAGGAACATTGCCTGCCAAAAGCGAGTTTCTCAGGCATCCATTAGGATTGATATTAGCGCCAACACGTGAGCTATGCATGCAAATTGAAAMACAGGCTAAAGAACTAATGCAGGGACTGACAAACATGAGGACTGCCCTGGTTGTTGGTGGTCTGCCACTGCCTCCGCAATTACACCGATTGCAGGTGAGAACTTTATAATGCCTCGAGTTTGCAAGTATAGTTAGTGAAAAGCATTTTTTATAAAATACTGAAGAATTTGCATCAATAAAAATATGCTGTTTCAATATACAAATATAGATTGCTATATTTGAAGTCAATTTTTCAATGTTTGACAATTGATTGTATATGTTATTTCTAATTTAATATCATGTTGGTATAGATGRGGGTTCAGATCGTCATAGCAACACCAGGAAGACTGCTTGAGATACTTAATTCTAAAGATACATTAGATCTGTCTTACATCAGGCATTTTGTAATTGATGAGGTAGATGGGATGCTTCAGCTTGGCTTTGAACAACAGGTAAATTTAAATTTATTAGCTTTGCCTCTAGTATGGGCAGGGACACCGCAACAGCGTACTGTGGACCCTGTACTCTCACACTCACTACTTCTACATTAAGTATTTTAGCACACGGCACTCCTCACATGTTGATTTTTATTAATGTTCATGTACATACTGTATTGACCATATGAAAAACGTGCAGAGGACTGGGAATCAGCACATTGAACGCTCCATATATTTAAACATCTGTTTTCACCATAAGAAGGAGTATATCTCAACTAATAAATTGGCAGAATTTTAGTTTCAAATGTTGAATATCAGCAGAGTTACAAGCATTTGAAATGTAACAAAAATGTGAAAATGAGGCTGGTCAGGCCTCCATACTCATTTTCACTCAAACCTTTGCAACTTAAAACACCTGTAATTTCTGGTCCTTAAATGTTAGAGCAATGAAACTTTCAGATCTTATTCATTGTGATGTTTTCTTTCAACGGGTAGAAATGATACAATAAACATCATATAAACTAAGGAGTTACGATAGCCACACCCTTTTTCATATRGTCTATATACATGCACTAATTATTGGTTGGCTATCATTTTATATGCAGCTGTATATAACTTTTACTATATGGCTGTTTATTCTTAAAAAACCTACTGTATTCTCCCTTTAACGTGCCATTATCCAGACATAACGAACAATTTTCATTTGCCTATTGTCTCTAATAACCTCTATTGATTCAGTTTTTGTAGCTTTATTCCAAACTCTGTGATATTCTCTTGTACTTCTTATACAGTATTCTTAGGGTTAAACCTTAGGAAACTTAGAAAGCTGTAAGATAAAGTTCATTTTAAAGTGAATAATAATGATGATGATGCTAAGAATAATAATATATAATTAAACCATTCCTGAGCATCATACTGATTACTTTTACAGTCAGTCATGTCCTAATAATAAAATAATTAATAAATGATAATTATATTTATACATTATATATATAACTAGCTCTACACTTTATGTGTATTGAGCACTCTTTAATGGGATCAGCTACTTCCTCATACGATTATTTATACATTATCATTATCAAATAAACAATTTTTATGTCTTATTTGTTTCAGGTTCAAGAAATCATCGAGAAGTTAAGCAATACTAGACAAACTATCATGGTGTCAGCTACTATCCCCAGCGATGTGGAAACTATGGTCTTAAAACTGACCCAAAACCCAGTGTTTATATCAGTGGGCAACCCGAGCACCCCAACACAAGCTGTGAAACAGTTAGTGATATGGGTAGAGGAAAAATCCAAGAAGAAACATCTCTTTTCTATTTTAAATGATAAAAGACATTATCAGCCACCAGTGGTTGTGTTTGTGGATTCTAAAGTTGGAGCTGATATGCTGGCTGAAGCTATACATAAGGTAACAACAT